GGTTGTCATGAATAAAATGAAAATTAATGAGAAGTGTCGATTTGGATAAGCTCATGTTGCATCATATTTATTTTTATGCATTTATACAGCGTTGCGCATTATAACCAGTCACACATGATTATGTTGTGCTTATGAATACAGTGGTCAGGGGTGGGGGCGGGGGAGCATTAAAATAAAATCTATAGAATAAAATCTCTGTCCTTTTTGTCGCCCTAACTGTGCTGCCGCCCTAGGCAGCTACATAGTTCACCAATATGCACGCGCCAGCCCTACGTCCATAAAAACTCGAAACACGCTCACTCCGTGATCAGCACTGCAAGTGTTGTTAAACTCTTCGTGGGGTTCAGAGCAGAAAGTGCATTCACAATCCTTCCGTGTGTGTAGAGCGCAGCAACCCAGCACGTTTTTTAGCACAGCATCAGAAGCAAAGCAGATCTAAAACAGGTTGGAGATTAAAATAATTGTGAAATAGGCAAGGCAAGTTTATTTAAATAGCACATTTCATACACAATGGAAATTCAAAGTGCTTTACATAATATTAATATAAAAAATAATCACAACAATAAAACAAGGAATTTAAAAACTTTCAAAATGAGTTAAAAATTGATTTAAGAGGTTTAAAATGAATTTAAAACCATTAAGAATAGAACATTATTAAACAAAATATAGTGCAAGCAGTTCGGACATGGCACAGTGCTCATTCACAGCTAAGAGTTTTGTGTCTGCATTTAAATGTGACTAATGCTTTAGCACATCTGATTTCTTCTGGAAGCTGACCTACTGAAACTAAGGTCTGTCTCCAGAATCACACCAAGATTCCTGACTTGATTTTTAGTTGTAAGACCCCCTAGAGTCAAGGTATGCATTGATTGATAGCATTTCTATGAAATCTTGGAGCACCTTTCAACACAATCCCTAGATATTCAAAAGACAAGTACTGACCAAATGACACTTGCTTGCATTGATAGACATCTTTAAATAGAGCAGCTACACCTCCACCTCTCCTAACAGTCCTGCAAACACTCATGAAAGTGAAGTTAGGAGGGGCTGTTTCATTGAGGACCGTTGCACTGCAGCTGTCTTCTAGCCATGTTTCATTTAGAAACATAAAATCCAGGTTGTTTGTGGTTATTAAGTCATTGATTAGAAATGATTTATTTTTTAGTGAGCGAATGTTTAAAAATGCTAACTTGATGGTATTGCATTTAGTCTCAACAGCAATATTAGTTTGATGCATAACAGGCCGCAGATTAGATGTGTCAGCCGTACGGCTTGAGAAGGCCTTAGACTTTCTGTCACGTGATAAAACAGAAATAGAGAAAGCTACAGGCACACTGGGTTCCCGCTTGTTCTGTAAACATTTGTGAATGTTGCTGCTATTATAGAATATATATAACATATCACTGAGAGCTGCTATCAGTTGTTTTTGGTTCACCTACAGCAGATGGAGGGTTTGGGCCCTGGCGTTGTGGCAGCGGCCGGAGAGCTCTCACAGGAGGAGGAAGACGAGCTGGGCCCACAGGCTTTGGTGGTTGGGGGGCATGCCGTTTTTTAGTTGATATCTGGGGGCTTGCAGCGAAAGAGTGGGAGAGTTTGGTCCCAGCATAAACCAGTTCCTCCATTTTCTGTGAGAAGCTTAGAAGTGGAGATGTTGGAGAGAGGGATAATGTAGGGCTGTGGCTCTGCTGTTTCTGGTGGCTGTGATATGTTGTCCTGGCTTCCCTGGCTGTTTTCCAGAAAGTCGTCCTTGGGTGCTGAGTCTTGGAGCTGTTCTGATACGTCACAGTCTGTCTGTGATGAGCTCTGTTGGCAGGGCTCAGCTGGGATGGTGTCCATGAGCGGTGCTTGTTGTGGCTGCGTGGTGTTATCAGTGTCCTTGTGGGATGTGTCAACCACATGATGACTCAGAAGCTGATATGAAATCCTGTGGTCACTCATACTCTGTCCAGGTGTGTGTGTGCCATTCAGGTTGAGTAGTTTGGCACACACTACTGAAGGATGACGGATGGAGAAGTAGATGTTGTCCTTTAGCACTCTTGCACCAAGTTTGTTTGGGTGGAGGCCATCCAGTTTAAACAGTTGTCTATGGCCCCAGAAAAGATTGAAGTTGTCGATGAAATTTACTCATTTTAAACTGCAGATTCTTTGTAGCCATGTGTTCAGCCCAAGCAACCGTGAAAACATGTTAACAAATAGGTAAAAAAAAAAAACGGATGTCTCATTTTAAATAAACACTAATAACTGAGATGACAAATTTACTTACTTTTGCAATGGTTAAATAAATGTTCAGCAATATTTTCAAAAGATTTGTGAACTTTGGCACATTTTTTGCCAAATGGCAAGGAAATGATACAAAATTTTGTAAATTTTGTTATGTGGAAATGTTTAAATCTTGTAGTCTTAAAATTTGTGCCCCGCTCACCCCGTACATGTGAAATGCTTTTTACAGACCGTTTACTTACTGGTAGGTAGCCAAATGCATATGAAAGAACAAAAATGGCGCCAAGTTCAAACGGATGATAGAAATGAATGAACATACCTGAAACAGTTTTCATAACATTTGAATTTTGAGGTGTATGCAATCTCATGCAGAATACAGCGCAGTGAAGTGAGAGCGTTTCTTCTCATTAATAATGTGGACCGATCGAGCCTTTTAATAATGACGTCACTCTGAGACCCTCACTGTTATTACAACTCGTGCGCGCCCGTGCTTCAAAACACGTAATGCATTTTATAAATCGTGGACTTAATTGCTATTCAAAAATTGCACTAAGAATATTGTAATTCGTAATTAATGTTGATAGGCTATATCGTGCAGCCCTAGGCTGAACTGTGAGAGTGTGTGTGTCATTGAAACGCAAATTTAGCTGCAGCCAAGTGATTTCGTGCGACCCACCTTGTCCGACTCTGCGACCCACAGTTTAAGAACCCCTGCTCTAGGGTGCGGTTTGTTACAGTGGGATGAACCCCATCAAAATAAGGAGGGTTGCAATGGAACTGGAGCGTGTATTCGAATTGGATTGTGTGGAGGACCCAGCGCAACACACCTGGTAGAAGCCTCCATGTTGCCAGGTGGTGAGACAGAGGTTGCATAAGAATGGGCCCTAGCGGGCCGTCAGACTTTCTATATGGCTGCCCACGAAAAATGGTGGGCACGAAGCCAAAGTTACCGGAGGAAGGCCTGAGGTGTTGGGCCAGTGAAGAGGTTTTTCCCCCTTTTGGGGTCTGGCATAACGGCTGGACCATCTTACATGGGGAGAAAGCCAGACGAGTCTACCGATGTGAGTGAAGCAGCTTGAGCAAGAAGAGGTATTGAGGGGAGATGTCTCCATCTTTCAATACAGGAAGATCTTGCTGGTTACCTAACTCTGTATCCCAAAACGCAGATTTAAGCTCAGAGAGCATCTCAAGATATGCTTTAGCGGTCTGTTCCTCACTCCTGAGATAGGCATAAATCATGCGAGGTGGGGGATATCTCGGCTCTTTACTCCTCCAAGACGTCTCCTTCCTGTGTGCAAGGTGGTCCCTGGGCACCAAGGCAGGAGTAGGAGGTGTGTAGGCCCTCCTAGGCATGAACTGCAGCAGAGTGCCTCTTAGCAGTACGGAATTTATCGACCACTGAGCTTCCGCAAACAAACCTGACTGGGAGATAGGGGTGTCCAGTAGGAAAACCTTCTCCTTTAGGCGAATCTTAGTGAGATTTAACCGAAGATGGTGTTCAACTGCGTGTGCAGTGTGCTTAGTTGCATGTAGCTCCTTGATCCCCTCCGGTATCAGGCCCCCAACCTCGTCCATTTCCTTAAGGACGTCCGCTTGGTAGGCCTGAACAATGGCCATGGTATGAAGCACCATACCTGCCTGACCAGCCGCTATGTAGGATTTTCCCACAAGGGCAGAATGGTCTTACAAGGCTTAGAAAGAAGAAGAGGACGGGACTTCCAAGATTGAGCGGAAGGCGGCAAAAGGTTATTGGCCAGTGTGTCCTCAACCACTGGAATCCTAGTATAGCCCGGCTTCACAAAACCAACCAGGTTGGTGAAGTCAGAGGGCGACGCATTCATCAGACAAATAGAAAAAGGCTCCATCCAGGGTCTTAAAATCTCATGATGAAGTTCAACGAAAAATGGCAGCTTTCTCCGAATGGGGCATGAATTAGATTGGCCTCTCAGAAAACGCTCCTCAAGCTTAGAGGATTGGGAGTTGCTCACCAGGCCACTCGATGTTAAGCTTCTTTGTAGCACACGCTAGTTCGTGGACGTACTCGTGGTCCTCCATTCCAAAGGAGTACCTCTGGACTGGGGCATAAATAATCCTGGAGAAATTCCACCGGTGAACCGGCACGGAGCCATCAGGTTGGCATGATTCTATACGGGTTCACACAGTCAGCACTGCCAGAGGACATTTCCCATTGCATCATCACGATGCAGCTTTAAGTGAACCTATGAAAGAGAATGCATTTCTCTTTAGTATCTTGTTTAGTATGTGCAGGAAGAAGTGCTTTATCCTTTAAGTAAAGGTTAATTTGACCCATGAGAACAGATCACAGCCTCAACCCAGAAGTGCCAGATTTGTGCCCATTGTACAGTATATCAGTAATCTTGAATACTTGTTGCAACATAAAAAGTCCAGTTCTTTCCAATTTTTAAGTAACAACTGTGAAATTTATCTGAAAATCAGATTTGCCTTGTTTTGGTTTTGTATAGTAAAAACCCACTTTGTTGACACCATTCTTCTTGTTAAATCCTGGGATCTGCGGTATATTTTGGACCTCCCATCTGCAGCAAAGGTAAAATTGGCTGATCCTGCTGTATTAGTGTTGGGACCTGTGGGATCCCAATCCATCATTCTACTGTGAGTTTTTATGAAGGGTTTGATAACTGGCAGCTTGAAAGTATTTGGGATGTGTCCTAGAGAAAGTGGAGATGTCTAATGTCTAATGGTTTTCATGTTGTTGTGCCATTAAACTGGTGTTATCATGTTTTTGTTTCTGTTCACCCTAGACCTGATGGCACTGAAAGAGGAGAGTCAAGAACTGAATGAAATGGAAGAGAAAGATCAGGTTGACAAATGTAATGATTTCATGATTAAAGAAAAATCTTTTTGTTACTCATCAACTCATAAAACAGAAACTAAAAACCTTCAAGTTCAGATGAGAGTTCACACTGGAGAGAAGCCTTTCACCTGTCAACACTGTGGAAAGAGTCTCAGAAGAAAACAAAGCCTTAAATTCCACTTGAAAATCCACACAGGAGAGAATCTGTTTACATGCCGTCAGTGTGGAAGGAGTTTTACACAGAAAAAAAACCTTGATACCCACATGAGAATTCACACTGGAGAGAAGCCTTACTCCTGCAAACTGTGTTGGAAGAGCTTCTCACGAAAAGGAAATCTGAAAACTCACATGAGAGTTCACACTGGAGAGAAGCCGTTTGTGTGTGATCAGTGTGGGAAGAGTTTTAAACAGAAAAGAGAACTTGATGTCCACATGACAATTCACACTGCAGCGAAACCGTTTGTTTGTGATCAGTGTGAAAAGAGTTTCAAATATAAAACACACCTTAATAACCACATGAAGATTCACTCGGGAGAGAACTGTTTTATATGTCATCAGTGTGAAAAGAGTTTCTCACACAGATCAAACTTTGAGAATCACTTAAGAATTCACACTGGAGAGAAGCCGTTCACCTGCCCTCAGTGTGGAAAGAGCTTCACAATTAAAGGAAACCTTAAGATTCACATGAGAGTTCACACTGGAGAGAAACATTACAAGTGTCTTCAGTGTGAGAAGAGTTTCACATATCACACAGAACTGAAACGGCATTTGCAAACTCATTCTGCAAAGAAACTGCCATTGTCCTCAGTGTGATGAGGTTTAGAAAAAGAAGCGATTTCAACAATCATCTGTGCATTCACTCTGGAGAAAGACTGTTTTGATTGTGATCAGTCTAATGAAAACATCACACTTATACATACATATTAAAGTCATGTAATTGTCAGATCCTGTTTGTGTTCTTTGTTAAGTTACAAAATAGTCGATTAAAGTTGCCGTTTTTTAGTTGATATCTGGGGGCTTGCAGCGAAAGAGTGGGAGAGTTTGGTCCCAGCATACACCTGTTCCTCCATTTTCTGTGAGAAGCTTAGAAGTGGAGATGTTGGAGAGAGGGATAATGTGTCTGGTGAGCAGGGCTGTGGCTCTGCTGTTTCTGGTGGCTGTGATATGTTGTCCTGGCTTCCCTGGCTGTTTTCCAGAAAGTCGTCCTTGGGTGCTGAGTCTTGGAGCTGTTCTGATACGTCACAGTCTGTCTGTGATGAGCTCTGTTGGCAGGGCTCAGCTGGGATGGTGTCCATGAGCGGTGCTTGTTGTGGCTGCGTGGTGTTATCAGTGTCCTTGTGGGATGTGTCAACCACATGATGACTCAGAAGCTGATATGAAATCCTGTGGTCACTCATACTCTGTCCAGGTGTGTGTGTGCCATTCAGGTTGAGTAGTTTGGCACACACTACTGAAGGATGACGGATGGAGAAGTAGATGTTGTCCTTTAGCACTCTTGCACCAAGTTTGTTTGGGTGGAGGCCATCCAGTTTAAACAGTTGTCTATGGCCCCAGAAAAGATTGAAGTTGTCGATGAAATTTACTCCTTTTAAACTGCAGATTCTTTGTAGCCATGTGTTCAGCCCAAGCAACCGTGAAAACATGTTAACAAATAGGTAAAAAAAAAAAACGGATGTCTCATTTTAAATAAACACTAATAACTGAGATGACAAATTTACTTACTTTTGCAATGGTTAAATAAATGTTCAGCAATATTTTCAAAAGATTTGTGAACTTTGGCACATTTTTTGCCAAATGGCAAGGAAATGATACAAAATTTTGTAAATTTTGTTATGTGGAAATGTTTAAATCTTGTAGTCTTAAAATTTGTGCCCCGCTCACCCCGTACATGTGAAATGCTTTTTACAGACCGTTTACTTACTGGTAGGTAGCCAAATGCATATGAAAGAACAAAAATGGCGCCAAGTTCAAACGGATGATAGAAATGAATGAACATACCTGAAACAGTTTTCATAACATTTGAATTTTGAGGTGTATGCAATCTCATGCAGAATACAGCGCAGTGAAGTGAGAGCGTTTCTTCTCATTAATAATGTGGACCGATCGAGCCTTTTAATAATGACGTCACTCTGAGACCCTCACTGTTATTACAACTCGTGCGCGCCCGTGCTTCAAAACACGTAATGCATTTTATAAATCGTGGACTTAATTGCTATTCAAAAATTGCACTAAGAATATTGTAATTTGTAATTAATGTTGATAGGCTATATCGTGCAGCCCTAGGCTGAACTGTGAGAGTGTGTGTGTCATTGAAACGCAAATTTAGCTGCAGCCAAGTGATTTCGTGCGACCCACCTTGTCCGACTCTGCGACCCACAGTTTAAGAACCCCTGCTCTAGGGTGCGGTTTGTTACAGTGGGATGAACCCCATCAAAATAAGGAGGGTTGCAATGGAACTGGAGCGTGTATTCGAATTGGATTGTGTGGAGGACCCAGCGCAACACACCTGGTAGAAGCCTCCATGTTGCCAGGTGGTGAGACAGAGGTTGCATAAGAATGGGCCCTAGCGGGCCGTCAGACTTTCTATATGGCTGCCCACGAAAAATGGTGGGCACGAAGCCAAAGTTACCGGAGGAAGGCCTGAGGTGTTGGGCCAGTGAAGAGGTTTTTCCCCCTTTTGGGGTCTGGCATAACGGCTGGACCATCTTACATGGGGAGAAAGCCAGACGAGTCTACCGATGTGAGTGAAGCAGCTTGAGCAAGAAGAGGTATTGAGGGGAGATGTCTCCATCTTTCAATACAGGAAGATCTTGCTGGTTACCTAACTCTGTATCCCAAAACGCAGATTTAAGCTCAGAGAGCATCTCAAGATATGCTTTAGCGGTCTGTTCCTCACTCCTGAGATAGGCATAAATCATGCGAGGTGGGGGATATCTCGGCTCTTTACTCCTCCAAGACGTCTCCTTCCTGTGTGCAAGGTGGTCCCTGGGCACCAAGGCAGGAGTAGGAGGTGTGTAGGCCCTCCTAGGCATGAACTGCAGCAGAGTGCCTCTTAGCAGTACGGAATTTATCGACCACTGAGCTTCCGCAAACAAACCTGACTGGGAGATAGGGGTGTCCAGTAGGAAAACCTTCTCCTTTAGGCGAATCTTAGTGAGATTTAACCGAAGATGGTGTTCAACTGCGTGTGCAGTGTGCTTAGTTGCATGTAGCTCCTTGATCCCCTCCGGTATCAGGCCCCCAACCTCGTCCATTTCCTTAAGGACGTCCGCTTGGTAGGCCTGAACAATGGCCATGGTATGAAGCACCATACCTGCCTGACCAGCCGCTATGTAGGATTTTCCCACAAGGGCAGAATGGTCTTACAAGGCTTAGAAAGAAGAAGAGGACGGGACTTCCAAGATTGAGCGGAAGGCGGCAAAAGGTTATTGGCCAGTGTGTCCTCAACCACTGGAATCCTAGTATAGCCCGGCTTCACAAAACCAACCAGGTTGGTGAAGTCAGAGGGCGACGCATTCATCAGACAAATAGAAAAAGGCTCCATCCAGGGTCTTAAAATCTCATGATGAAGTTCAACGAAAAATGGCAGCTTTCTCCGAATGGGGCATGAATTAGATTGGCCTCTCAGAAAACGCTCCTCAAGCTTAGAGGATTGGGAGTTGCTCACCAGGCCACTCGATGTTAAGCTTCTTTGTAGCACACGCTAGTTCGTGGACGTACTCGTGGTCCTCCATTCCAAAGGAGTACCTCTGGACTGGGGCATAAATAATCCTGGAGAAATTCCACCGGTGAACCGGCACGGAGCCATCAGGTTGGCATGATTCTATACGGGTTCACACAGTCAGCACTGCCAGAGGACATTTCCCATTGCATCATCACGATGCAGCTTTAAGTGAACCTATGAAAGAGAATGCATTTCTCTTTAGTATCTTGTTTAGTATGTGCAGGAAGAAGTGCTTTATCCTTTAAGTAAAGGTTAATTTGACCCATGAGAACAGATCACAGCCTCAACCCAGAAGTGCCAGATTTGTGCCCATTGTACAGTATATCAGTAATCTTGAATACTTGTTGCAACATAAAAAGTCCAGTTCTTTCCAATTTTTAAGTAACAACTGTGAAATTTATCTGAAAATCAGATTTGCCTTGTTTTGGTTTTGTATAGTAAAAACCCACTTTGTTGACACCATTCTTCTTGTTAAATCCTGGGATCTGCGGTATATTTTGGACCTCCCATCTGCAGCAAAGGTAAAATTGGCTGATCCTGCTGTATTAGTGTTGGGACCTGTGGGATCCCAATCCATCATTCTACTGTGAGTTTTTATGAAGGGTTTGATAACTGGCAGCTTGAAAGTATTTGGGATGTGTCCTAGAGAAAGTGGAGATGTCTAATGTCTAATGGTTTTCATGTTGTTGTGCCATTAAACTGGTGTTATCATGTTTTTGTTTCTGTTCACCCTAGACCTGATGGCACTGAAAGAGGAGAGTCAAGAACTGAATGAAATGGAAGAGAAAGATCAGGTTGACAAATGTAATGATTTCATGATTAAAGAAAAATCTTTTTGTTACTCATCAACTCATAAAACAGAAACTAAAAACCTTCAAGTTCAGATGAGAGTTCACACTGGAGAGAAGCCTTTCACCTGTCAACACTGTGGAAAGAGTCTCAGAAGAAAACAAAGCCTTAAATTCCACTTGAAAATCCACACAGGAGAGAATCTGTTTACATGCCGTCAGTGTGGAAGGAGTTTTACACAGAAAAAAAACCTTGATACCCACATGAGAATTCACACTGGAGAGAAGCCTTACTCCTGCAAACTGTGTTGGAAGAGCTTCTCACGAAAAGGAAATCTGAAAACTCACATGAGAGTTCACACTGGAGAGAAGCCGTTTGTGTGTGATCAGTGTGGGAAGAGTTTTAAACAGAAAAGAGAACTTGATGTCCACATGACAATTCACACTGCAGCGAAACCGTTTGTTTGTGATCAGTGTGAAAAGAGTTTCAAATATAAAACACACCTTAATAACCACATGAAGATTCACTCGGGAGAGAACTGTTTTATATGTCATCAGTGTGAAAAGAGTTTCTCACACAGATCAAACTTTGAGAATCACTTAAGAATTCACACTGGAGAGAAGCCGTTCACCTGCCCTCAGTGTGGAAAGAGCTTCACAATTAAAGGAAACCTTAAGATTCACATGAGAGTTCACACTGGAGAGAAACCTTACAAGTGTCTTCAGTGTGAGAAGAGTTTCACATATCACACAGAACTGAAACGGCATTTGCAAACTCATTCTGCAAAGAAACTGCCATTGTCCTCAGTGTGATGAGGTTTAGAAAAAGAAGCGATTTCAACAATCATCTGTGCATTCACTCTGGAGAAAGACTGTTTTGATTGTGATCAGTCTAATGAAAACATCACACTTATACATACATATTAAAGTCATGTAATTGTCAGATCCTGTTTGTGTTCTTTGTTAAGTTACAAAATAGTCGATTAAAGTGTGCTGTTTGTGCTACATTCAAGTGTTGATGTTAGCGTAAAGTGTTATGTTTTGTTGTTGTTTAAAAGCAGAGGTTCTTCTATGTTCAGACATTCATACAACAAAATATTCTGGGAGCCTTTTTTTGTGAAAATGATCAAAAATGCTGGCAACTTAAAAAAAAACACGTGCAGGGAAAAATTTTAAATTCAGTTCAGGGTCAATTTTAAGTATAAAATCAAATACTTCAATGGGAACATAGTATGCTTAATGTGTAAACATAATACATAAATAATAGATTATAAGTACAATATTAAGTTCACTTAAAGAAAACTGGAGGAGGGGCTATCAGACACCATTATTAATGACAAAATCACCTTATAAAATTCATACACTACACGGTTGAGTGCATAGTGCGTCATTTGGGACGCCACTATTGTCTGGTCTCAGGCTAATAGTTAGCTTCATCTTAACTTTATCTACATACTTACATTGGCTTCTTTGACTTACTTTTGATATGTCCTTGGTAGAAAGCCAGTCACAATCACTGTTAGCATTTCGTTGAGACTACAGTTTTTGTAGCCCTCCAGAGTCTCATTTTGTCTCTCGACACCATTGTTGGTGTAGACGGCCACTCTGAGACTTTCTCCTCTGAAGACACAAACCCATCTCTGATTTAGAAAAGACAACAGTGGTAAATACTCATACCTTTTAGAAGTGAAATACAAAGCCGAAATGGATAATTCGTTCACTTGAATATGTGTTATCTGCATGTGGGCGGGAATGAAACGCCCCTTTCCGCTGACTGGCCAATCAAACATCAAATGTGCCATCATCAGTTCTTCCAATAATCATCCAGTGTTATAGATGTACAAGTCCTTAACGCGTTTATTGCAACAACATTTCATCTTTCTCTCATCAAACAACCAGAATAACAAACGCCTGTGTAGGGCTCTAAATTACCTATTAAAATAGGTAGCCACTTTGATTTTTATTCCTGAATGAATCAGTATTTTGAACGAAACACAATGGCTTGCCGCCACCTACTGTCGATAATGTTTGCATATTTTCACTTCATTTTGTCATTGTTCTGTATTTAAAATGTTATTATAGCATCTATTTAAAATCGCATTCATCCTTTGCTGGGCCTCTTAAAAAAAATGTGGGGGCATAAATTAAGAGTATACCCACTGGATGATATTTTGTATAAGGACAGTAACGGTTTAATGAAGATCATAACACTAAATATTTATACTTAAAATATATAAATATACAGTGGGGAAAAAAAGTATTTAGTCAGCCACCAATTGTGCAAGTTCTCCCACTTAAAAAGATGAGAGAGGCCTGTAATTTTCATCATAGGTATACCTCAACTATGAGAGACAAAATGAGAAAAAAAATCCAGAAAATCACATTGTAGGATTTTTAAAGAATTTATTTTGCAAATTATGGTGGAAAATAAGTATTTGGTCAATAACAAAATTTCATCTCAATACTTTGTTATATACCCTTTGTTGGCAATGACAGAGGTCAAACGTTTTCTGACTTGCACGATTGGTGGCTGACTAAATACTTTTTTGCCCCACTGTAACTAAATCAAATCTGCACCCAACATATACCACACATGTTTTTTAACGCATCGCATGCGGATTTTAATGCGCCACACCCTTCTTTTAATGCACCACCTCAGCTTAGTCATACATACATATACATATAGTAATCTTACCGTGAATGAAAAAAAACAAAACATGAACACTGACACAGAAGCTAGGATAGGTGTGGTATGTGTTGGGTAGGTGTCATTATTACATTGTTATTATTACTATTGTTATTACATAATTATTATTATAGCTAGTACTACTTAATATTACTACTATTATTCCGATTGTCATTGCTGTTTATTTTCATTGCTGTTATTATAATTGCTGTTCTACTGCTGTTTTGTGTTTTTTGTTCACCGTATATTGTATGTTTTGCACTCTTAATAAAAAAAAAAAAAGAAAGTGAGTATACCCACTTCTCCAGACACCACAACACCACTGCAATAAATGCGTTAAGAACCCGTACATCTACATAACGGCACGTTTGATGTTTGGTTGGCCAATCATCAGAAAGGGGCGTTTAATTCCCACCCACATGCAGAGTTTTATCCATTTTGGCTTTGTTGTATTTCGTTTTGGTGCATAATGGGGAGCAAAACACACAAAACAAGGAACAGAGTGTGATATAACTCCCCCCTCCTGGAAGGCGTGTCCCGCGCCATACAACATCCAACGGGGAGGGGGGGGTGGGTGCTCTGGACGCCTCTAGGAGCAGGGTTCCAGGACAGAAGGCCTCCAGGGCGGCGCCCGTTCCGGGACTCATGGCGGAGCAGGCAGCTCGGGGAGCCATGGCGGGTCAGGCAGACTAGGAGGCCATGGCGGATCAGACAGTTCAGGAGGCCATGTCTGAGCAGACAATTCAGGAGGCAATGGCGGAGCCGCCTCCAAGGCCCCAGCCCCCGCCCTGGCCTCTGCGGCTGGAGCCCTACTACCCCCCCCCCCCAAAATACTTGGGAAAGATTACGAGCTCCGAGGCCCTCCGTGGGCCAGGCATAGGCACCGCAGCCCTCTGTGGGCTAAACACAGGAACAGGAGCCCTCTGTGGGCTACATTCGGGAACAGGAGCCCTCACTGGGCTAGATTCAGGGACTGGGAAGCACTTTCGAGAGCTGGCACTGGAGCGAGCTCTGTGGCTGGAGTCGACACTGGAGCGAGCTCTGGGGCTCGAGACGACACTGAAGCGAACACTCGGGCGCGCTCTCGGGCGAGGAAGAGGGCCCTGAGCCAGTCATTTCTCCTCTTCCTCCTCTTCTGATTACGGGTGAACTGGGAAGCCGGCGGGCTTGAGAGAGCCACGGCCAGCAGGCTTGACTTCGTAGCGACCGGTGGGCTTGACAACGGCGCGGCGAAGCGTGAGGCGGTTTCCATGCCGTGGGGAAAAACAGGAAAACAAAACACTTTCAAAACCAAAAAACAAACACGGGGAGAAGGGGTGGCGCTTACGGTCTCTGATCCGGTATTCTGTCACGGTTGCACTACTGTGAGGAGTGCGGAGCGAGGAACGAAGGAGACAAGGAGTACATCAATCGAGAGATTTTAATGAATGCAAGGGATATACATATATACTGTATATATTAATCCTGAGAATTTTTCTACAAACAATAACAAAACGAAATCAGTTGAGCCCAATTAGATATGAATATTGAAAAGTAAGACCCGATATTTTATCAAGATGTTGATATTTGCATTTAGATATGTAATGCAAAAGGCCACATGAAAGAAAAAAAACATTGTTTCTGTGGGGTTCAGCGTTTTCCTTCTGAAGTCTGGACCATTTTTATATTTTGCTTAAAATAAGTATCTACTAAAAACAACAAAACAATGCACATAATAATCAAACACCCTCATCATGAGCAGAAAACAAAGTTAACTAGCAATTCCAATGTTTAAGTTGTCTTTCCTTGCCATCTACTAATAATTTTACCAATTGTAACAATTATATAATTATTTTGAAATGCTCTTAGCACACTGATTAAATGCTAAATGTAGATGAAAAAGTCACCACAAACCTGGTTTGAACGGTCAGAGTCATAGGCTATGTATGACAGATAAAAAAATAACTGTATTTGCAGCATTGAGTTTTAGTGAAAGTAACCATAATTTTACTGCTCAGTCTTTTTGCTACTGTTGTTACAATAACCGCATCATCTACAGCCTCTGCCAACTGCAGCTGCTCCACATCAGCCTCTAGTACCATCATCTCCGCCATGGCCTGTTACCCTGCCTGCTCCGTTAGACCTCCTCATCTCTCTGGCACCACTTTGGACAAGAGTCCATCTACCTCCTGCCTCCTGCCTGCCAAGCAGTCAGTCCTGTCTCCGCTGCCACCTGTCATCCTCTCAGCTCACCTTCAGCCTGCCATCTCTTATGTGGGTTCGCATCGGGTCTTCCAGTCACAAGCTGCGCTCAGGTGTGAGGATCCTCTGTCTCCGCCTCCCACCACTGGATCCCTGACTCCACCTCGGCCCTGTGACCCATCGACTCAGCCTTGGTGCCTAGCTCCCTCTTGGCCCATCATCCCACCAGCTCCACTGGGCTCCCATGTCTCTCCGGCTCCACCTTGGTCAGTTGTCGATCATCCACCGCCTCAGGATTCCACTCCTCTGGCTTCACCCCGTCCCTCCATCCCTCTGGCTCTGTCAGGCTCCTCCTTCCCTCCGGCTTAATTTTTATCCTCAGTCACTCCGGCTCCACTGTGGTCTTCCGGAACCACGTCTTCGCCTCGGTCACTGGAGCCGGCTGCTCCGCCTTGGCCCTCCGGATCTTCAGTGTCGCCCAGGCTCCGTGTCTGCTCAGCTTCGTCTGGGTCTCCACCATCGGCGTTATCCTTCGTTGCCTCCCTGGTCCTGCTTGCTCCATTCTCCACCCCTTCACCACTCCTGTCTTCTATCCACCCTACTCTTCTGCCATCCCTTCACCCACTCCTGCCTCCTTCATAGACTGTTGGTGCGAGGTCGCTCCTTTCCGGAGGAGGTTGATCTGTCACAGTTTAGTTCTGTTTAAGTCTTGTTTTTGTCTTGTGACCCAGTTTTCATTGTGTTCCCTTCCTTAATTAGTTAATTTGCACACCTGTTTGCGAAATTCATTAAATGTGTTGAATTTGTTACCTTGCCTTGTCGTGCCCTTTCTCCCCACACACGCCGTGGCACTAACTCACCTTCTTACGCCATGGCCATTGTTTCAATTGTTTCCTATTTAAATTCTTTTGATGGCAAATAGACACAAATGTGGCCTGTTATTTTCTATGATTTTTTCATAGTAAAAAAACAGCAGTTGGGAGATTTGTGATTGTTATTACACCAAGGAATCCGTAATCTTAAGACACATCAATACTAAAAGG